CAGAATATATATAGGGAGAGGTATTATATAATTTCCATAACAGTACATAGAGATATATCATGTATTATATATACCTAGTATACATCATCTATACATATATCATATAGAATATATACTATATGATATCTATAGCATGCATTATAAGTAGTATATATCATATGTAAATAAACCATGCAACTGATTAGATATAGATATTCACCTTATATATAGAAGTTAGCTTCAGGTTTTCAGAGAAACTGATTTTTCAACTTTTTCACTAATGAATATCAAAATGCCACCTGCATATAATTTAAAATATACATATATATATTCTCAGCTGTATGTGTTTGGTATTTTGATATCTATTAGTGACAAAAGTTGAAAACCCAGTTTGTATAAAATCCTGGAACTAAACTGTCACATAAACAAAAAGGAATGGGTGAAATTGCTTCTTTAAAATATTCGTAACTAAAAGAAAGAAGAGGAAAGAAAAAAGACTGAGCTCATTAAAGGATGAATTTGAACAGAGAAGTTAATAAGTGTACTCAGTGTGGGAGTGTCCGTGAGACAGTTTAAGGCTGTGAAACAAATTCAATGTTTAGAAGAAAATGAGAGATAGTTCCACTTAATGAGTATACAGCAGACTAATTATTGTAATAAAATATGTGTAATTAAAAAGAAATCTGCTTTCTAATGATTTTACTGACTGTAAACCAGTTTGGAAAACCCCAAAGATAGCTGAAGACAATACATATAAAGGCTGCAGGGAAAGTTTGCACAATTGAGTAAATATATGTGTTTATTATTGTGAATTAGAGTCAGCATTCTAGCAATCCTAGTCTCTTTTAACATAATATTCCCCGATTTCTTAAGGCAATGCCCAATTGAAGAGAGAAGAGAGTACTTGGAAATTAAAGAAAGTCTTAAGGTAATCATCTACATACAGTTAAACAGAAATTCGGAAAAAAATACATTTTAAAATAAATTCGTAGAAAAATGCAAAATTATGACAAGTTTCTTCATAATATTCGTGCTAATATCCATTCATGGAATCAAAGTATCAACCAAGCCCATACAGCTCTGGTTTATAGTGGGACTTAGGGATGACGAGTGAAGCATATTTTCATGTTTTACTTTAGTCACAACCACACGCAGCTCAGTGGACAGGGAACCACCGAGCAACTGGAGGAGAGTAGAATTGGGAGTTTCGAGCCAGGGCTGCAATAGTGACCCTTTCTGCCTCTAATTCCTCTGAGTGTATAATAGTGTGTCCATGAGCTTTGAACGTGGGAAGTGTTATCAGACATATCTTTAAGAAATTATCAATCTTGGGGAAAACCCAGAGTGATTACTTTTCTGGTATATCCCACTTTTCTCACCTCCTCACAGACAAATGGTAGCCGGAAGCGGTGCTGTGCTGGGGCCAGCATGGACCAGATCGTGAGACTGTTTTTGAAAAACTGACTGTCAAGTTTTTGAGAAACCTGCTGGCTGCTTATTAAACATAGCCATTATTAAAATTTAAATTATATAAGCTTACGAGTAGATAATGTATACTAGAAATAAAGATAATATTCAACAATTACTAATTATTTTACTATTTTTTATTATCTATGCTCTTGAAGTTATCTATCTCCGTCATATTGGTACAGTGGGTAATACTACATATTGCTACACACTTCTTCATAACTCCACTTTCAGTGGCTTCCTGTTGGTAGCTTGAAATTGATCGTGGTGGAAATATCTGCACCACAGAAATCAACAAGTGCTACAAATTAGAGCCCCTCCCATCCCCTCCCCTCCCACTCCCCACCGCCATAAATAGTTGGTAAACATTTACCAGCACACCACTGGGTGGAAGCCATAATGAGAACTGAGTCATACCCTATAGATCCTTAGTCTGGAGGATGGTATTAGAGCTCTGGCTGCTGTGTGGAGTGGAAGAAAGTGATAACAGGTGAGTCTGCAGTAAAAACCACAAAGATGTGATCTATACAGGTTGTCATTCTTCAGAAGTGAGGCAGAGAGAAATTGGGATTCCGGCTAGGAGCTATTGAGATAAGATCTTAGAAAAGCAAACAAAAGCAAAAAAGGTGTAAAGAATTGGGTGGGTGTTGGAACTACAAAAAAATTATTGATGTGATAAAGTGGCTCCTAGGCATGGACCGGGAAGAAGCAGTAAAAAGCAGGAACAATGATTTCCACCTTTGTCCTAAATCACTTCAAACAAAACCTTACTTTTCTGAAATTATTTCTTTTCCCTCTATTCAAAGCTCTTAAATCTTCAATGTCTGATCTCGCATTAAAAAGGAAAGAAGCCAGATTAAAACAATTTACACAGAGGTATGATTAACATTTTTTAACACTAGAGCAATGTTCACACACAAACACACACCATATCCACATACAGGTTAGCTAGAATAGCATTCATTGGGGAAAAACTATTGGAGATAGAATTAGCAGCAGACATGTAGGTTCCCAGTTGCCCATTCATTGTAGCAGGGCCAGATGTAAGATTCAGATGACCCTAAGCCTTGAGGCATGAACTTTTGGGCTCTATGCTTAAAGTACACTGGATCCATCCTTGTGTAATTCCCTGCTGTGAGGTGTTAGAAACTTGACTTCAGCTTCATCCTGCCAGTTTAGTGGTCATGGATAGTGGGAAACAGTCTCTGCCCTGGACACTGGGGTCCAGACCTTATAGTTTTAGTTCTACGACACCCCAAACTAGCAGTAGGAGTGGCAACATCAAGGTTTATGGCTGCAAAAGCATCAGTCCTTCATCAAGGGTTGGAACCCAAGCCTCGTTCATCCTAAGCATTGGGGCATAGCCAGCTACTGCGGAGCTTAGAAGGCCAGCTCCTGTGTTTGAGGAGGGTCTACAGAGTATCACTCTCGGTCACATTTATCCTTATATCTCATTGACACATAGCCTGGATCCTCCAAAAGATTCTGGGAATGTAATAGATGAGTTCATTAACATATCGATTAGTCTGTATTAGATGGAAAGTTCAAAGATTTTTTTAAACAGAAAGGTCTTCCTACCCCTGTCTTCTAGGATATCTTATCCTACCAGAGCAAGTATTAACAGATTAATACCCCTTTTATGAACACCTAGAATAAGAATAAAAAGTTTCTTTTTTTCTCCACTGGTGATAAAAGAAACTTGGATATGTTTATAGAGAGGAAAAGATTGAATGTAAAGTAGAAATTGAAAATTGAAGAGAGAGAAGGGAAAATTCATGGATTAATTTCCTAAGGGAACTACGAAGGGGAAATAATAAAAAGCAGAGATGGGGCTCAACTTTGGATAAGGAAAGAAACACTTCTTATGAAACAGGAAGGAAGAAGGAGAGTAATGGTGATGAAGCAGAGAAATTCAGATGTGGATTTTATTTGGTCAGCTAATATTACTGGAGCTCCTAATTATGCAATGTGAATAAATCTCGGCTACTTCCTGCAATGTGGGAGAGGGGATGGAGGGGGGGAGAGTGAAGTGTGATTCCCAGCACAGCTCTCCCCCAAATCACCTTCTTTCCAAATTCTCATTCCCGAGCTTTCCATATTCTTGACGGAAGCGAGGTGTTTATAGATTATCTAATGAGTTCTAAATCGGCCCGATTTAAAACCTCTGGTGATCTAATTAACAGCTCACATTGGTATCTGATATCTATGGTATCTGAACTTCTCAATTTAACATCCTGTTGCACAACACTAGCCAAAGGATAGGAGACAAGTGAAAATACAATTTCAGTGGAGTGAAGTGAGTGTTCCGTGTGGAGTAAGCACATCAGGTTATAGAAACACATTGGGTGGGAGGGGAGCCCACATAATCTTCCGTGGCCAGAGAAAAGCTGCCATAAAGAAATGCCCTTATGACCCAAAAGGAATTACCCACACAACATGCGGGGTAGAAGGGTGGCAAGGAAAAATGTTTCATTAGAGAGAGGAGAATGCGTAAAGGTCTGGAGGCAGGCGAGTTAGAATTGGAGGTAGATTAATAGGACCGGGGAGGTCAGAGAGCTCATGGGAAGCTACACCCCAGAAATGCCTTGAATGCATTCCGGAGAGTTTGGAATTGATCCTGAGAACAGCAGGGAATCTTACAGGAGCTTTAAGTAGAGAAGGGACTGTGATCAATTTTGTGTTTATAAATCATTCTGACGGCAGCGTATAGAAGGGAGGGAAACAAGACTGTTGAAATATTCGTCGTGATGAGGGATAGCATCTTGAAATAGAGTGATCTAATTAACAGCTCACAGGGGGAATGTTCCTTCCAGAGAATGTAACATTTAATACGTGGCATGGGAGGAGCCACCCAGGGACACACCCGGATGTTCGTCTGGGATAACTGGATTGGTGGTCCTGATTTCAATGAAACAAGTACTCCTGGTTAGACGCTCTAACCTTCTTGTAAAGGAGGAGGAGGTAGGGAAGGTTGGAATCGTTTAGATTTGCTTTCATTCTGTGGGCATATTGTCTACTTGTGCCAGGCATGGAGACAGGGAAACTGAAAGAAGCCATGGAATAATAGGGGAGAGAAATGGGGGGAAGGGGAGGGGAGAAGTGGAAGAAAATGACAACTGAGAATCCCGCAAGGCCCAGTCAAGGTTCGATAAGATGAATTAGTAATGGAAACAAGAGTCTTGATTACGACATTCTTGGAGCAACCTTGGACAATGTGAGAACAGAATCAAAGAGGCAGATGAAGATGGTGGGTTGAACCCAAGCTGAAGAATATGGGGCGGTGTGGGTAAGATTATAAGAAAGTATAAGATGGGAGTCAATATCTGGACTAATACGTCTCTAAAATTCCTTTCCGTGTGCACAGGATGAATAGGGAAGCCAGAACAGGGCCAATAAAAGCATAAGGAAAGAGCGAAAGCCTGGAGGCCAGTGGACTGAGAACGGAGGAGAGTCAGGCAAACCGGATGTAGTCATCGGAGAGAACGTCAGCATTCAAGGGACTGGCAGCAGCAACATTCCAAGTAATAAGGTGGATCCAGATGTTGGAAGGCGAGATGGGTGAAAGTGTCATGAATATGAATGTTGACATTCAGAAAAACGAGGCCCAACGGAAGGCCGTGAGCAAGAAAGAGTTGTGCTGGAGGTCCGTAAACCAAGGAGACAGGATAAAGAGCAGAGAAGAGAAACCGTTAAGAGCTCGCGGTCAGTCAGTCGTGTGGAGGAAGAGGCAGAGTTGGGGGCTGGGTGTGGGAACGAGTGTTTTTTTTTCTTTTGATGCCAGAAGTGTTGCCTGCAGAAGGAAACTGGTATTATCAGGAGAAAATAGGTTTGTGTAGTGGTCAGGAGAAGGGAAAACCATTCTAAGAAGGAATTCATTTTCAAGAAAATAATACGTTGCAGTAATAGAAGAGGCCTCAATGACTTTTTTTTTTTTTTTTTCTCAAATTGTTTTTTTTTTTTTTTTTTTTTTTTTTTTTATTCCACTGGTCATTGTGGAAGCAGGTAGAAAACGGAAGGCGAGGATGGTCGGAGATGGCCAGGGATACGTGGTAAATAGCAAGGAACATACCAAAAGGGACACAAGGAAAAGTTGTCCCTTAGGTGGCAATTTTTTTAAACAAACGCAATTGAGGCTCTTCTGAGTCATTGCACTTCTAGACACACCAAAGTCATTTTAGGTTTATTCTCTAAAATTTGGGATGGGCATCATCGCTACTGAGTATCTCCACAACGAAGTGTCTGAAGAGGTCTTCCCTCTGAACGTTCCTAAGTGCTTACTGAGGAATGTTAGGCAGAAAACAAAATAAAACAGACAGGAAGATCATTCTCTCCCAGTTGGAGTCTGACCACAGAGAGGGTTCATTAATGAAACACATCAGTTCAGAAAACTTTAAATTTCCTGTTAAACAAATATCACACATTAAATATCAGAGGAGTGATGAGTAAGAGGTGAAGATAGGAGGTGTATATTTAAAAGGTTTCACCCACACCCTGTTTTGTGGTTTTTACCCTGGTGCTGCCACCACACCTGAGTTTCGCTTATTAAAATAATAAAGAAGTTGAATGACTAAAATCTGCTGAATAGTGCATAGTAAACACAGTTCCTCAAAGGCTAAACCTGACAGACGAGATCAGTATTCAGTTGGGAGAAAGTCTGATGAAGTTAATATTTTTTCCAACTGGGAGACAGTCTGATGAAGTTAATATTTTTTCCAACCTGGTCTACGTGCGCATGCTGGTGTGTGCAGTTTTGTTTATCTTCAACTGAACTTTGAGAGAGTTAATCTCATGTTTTTTATTTCACTTATACAATGTTGACATTAAAACCAAAGACAAAATGGGAATAAATTGGGGCAGGGAATCTAAAGCATACAAAAAAAATTTTAAAAATCTTTTGTGTTTAAAAGGCAACAGCAGTTTACAAGTTTCAGGCAGTGAAATCATGGTTAAAGTTTTAATGTGGTAAATATAACATGCGACATTGTGTGTACACAAGAACGTGATATGTGCATGTATAAAAATTCAAAAAATAGCCGTCAGCAGATTAGCTACCATTTAAGGAGCACTTACTATGCACTAAACTCTTTTCATGTTACATCATGTAATTTGGGCATCCATACCCTGTGGACACCCTCATCCCCAGTTCACATCGCACTACTGGCGCGCAAAGCAGCAGGTTACCTGCGCGGCATCCTCTGCCAGTAGGTGCTGGGGCTGAGCCATCTGATGCCAACGCGACATTGTCCTAGTGACGTTTTAAATATCCAACTAGAGTCCCATTTAAAGCAGATCCACTCCAATTTTTAAGTGTGACTGATGGCCTTGATTTTGCTTTCGGAGTCACAGCTCCAAGACCAGTTTTCAGTTAAATTGAGGAAAGTGAGGTAGGGGAAGTGTGAGAGTTGGGGACAAGACAGGTGGACGAGAACAGGCGGAAACTAAGAAGAGGGGTAGAAGGGACAGATTCAGAGCAGGGCGGTGGGGCCGCGCGTTGAGAGGCCCCAGGAGCTCCGCGCGCTGGCGGGCGGAGCGGACGGGGACAGCAGAGCAGGCA